GAAGAAAATTTTTTCGAAGTTTGTCACTAACCAGGCTATGGCCTTCAGCATAAAAGAGGCCAACAAGACACAGAGAACTATCAACCCAAATAAGGAGAAGTATTATTATACCTATTACAAGAAAACTGTACACTTTTTGGAAAGATGCTTTAAGGCCAATCCAAATAGACCTATATGCACTAACTGTAATTTGCCAAGACATATAGCCAAGGTATGCTATAGAGATAAGAACTAAGTAAAGGGACAAAGGACCTAAAATAAGATAAGACAACCCACTATCAATCAGGTATCCTCTGTTGATGCACAAACTAAACTCAAGGGAGAAGAGCACAATCTATTGATAAAGGATCAACTACACCAACTTATGACCTTCATTCAACGAAGTTAAGCTACTGTCAATATGGTACAAATAACTTCAGAGCAAACTCAAGATCAGAAACTCATTGCATTCTCTAGTATGTTTTTTTGTTTCAATATATGCACAATAGATAGAAATATCACACACACACAACTTAGATAATTGATACTAGGGCCTCAGATCATATAGTACATACACTACAATTATATGTTGAGATAACATCGAATGTTAAATCTAAAGTTGAATTACCGAATGGAGAAACTGTAAATGTATCTCATGTAGGAGTAGTAAAATTAAGTGATAAACTTATGTTAAATAATGTGTTGTGTGTGCCTTCATTTAAATTTAATTAAATATCTGTAAGAAAGTTAACACAGGATATTAGGTGTTGTCTAATTTTTTACAACAATATTGTGTTATTCATGACCTTTTGACCTGGAAGACACTTGAGATGGGCTAGATTAAGGATGGACTATATCAGCTTAGACAACCTAAGGATTCAGAAAAGGCAAGTCAACAAATTTTTGCAGGAATAACACTACAAAGCTCCAGCAAAGAGGAGAGGGACTTTGATTTGTGGCACTACAGGCTTGGACACCCTTCATTTAAATCTAGTTTTGATTTTGATATGTTAGCAAACAAAGACTTTAAGTTATGTTATGTATGCCCATTGACAAAGATGCATAAACCTTCATTTTTTGATAGTAGTAATAAAGCATAACAATGTTTTAATTTAATATATTGTGATATTTGGCGACCTTATAATGAAATTTCTTATGTTAGTTTTAGATATTTTTTAACCATTGTTGATGATTTTACTAGATGTACTTGGGTATATATGATGCAAAGTAAGGCTAAAATAGGTTTACATTTGCAACATTTTTGCACCTTTATTGAAACCCAATTTGACAGGAAAGTAAGAGTAATTAGAACTGATAACGGAAGAGAACTCGAAATGAAGAGATTTTATAATGAGAAGGAAATCATGCATCAA